GTGGTAACCCATTGGCTTGACTTTCCCATTACCTTTCAGGATGTTGAATATTTGTATCAAATCCCTTCATATTCTCATATTCTCATATTCATATTCTGAAAAGAATCATGTCTTATTTGTGTACAACAAAAAAAAGAAAGCATACAGTAAATAAATGTACTCAGGGCTGCTTTCAAAGGTTATCAGTACCATTGGCTGTTTCTGTCCCACCAATGAACATTTTTTAGTTGTGAAAATAACAATAGAAACAAATAAGATTACATTGCGTTCCAAAACTATTTAGACTCTTCCTATGATGTCCCTTTATGTGAAATTGCAAAATGATGCAAATAACATTGTTTACACTTAATAATTTATTCAAAACCAGAATGCTCAAACTTGAGACGTCTAAGGATAGGACATGTTACAAGTCTTTTCATAAGTTCACAGTAGAATTCAAGTCAGGACTTTGGGTCTGTTGATATTTACTTTTTTATTCTTTCTTTCTTTCCTCTGTAACAGGCCTTCCAGTCCCTGCTTAGGAGAAAGCAACCTCATACATGCTTGACAACAGGAATGACTTAGAGATGTGCTATTGTATATTTTGTAAGCAGCAAACGCAACACTTCGCATTTAGATTTAAAAGTTCAAATTTGATCTAATCTGGCCACAACAGTTTTTGCCACATTTTTTCGGGATCACCCAGATATATTTTGTAAACTCCACAGGGTATATAAGATACGTTTGCCACTCAATCACACAGGCCTGCTTTCTAGAGTAGCCAGGATAGTGTTAACTGATGTACATTTTCTCCCATCCCAGCCATTGAACTCTGTAGCTCTTTCCAAGTCGCCGTTGGCCTCACAGTGGCTTCCCTCCCCAGTTTGAAAGATCCTTGGTCTTCATAGTTGAATCTTTACTTGACATTCACTGCTTGACAGAGGGACTTTACAGAGATGGGTGTATGTGTTGTAAAATCATACAAACCGCTATTATTACACAAAGTGGTCATTCAACTAAATGTGTAGTTCATTAAGGTAATGAACATGATATCAACCTTGGAACCTGAGCAGTGCAGAAGTCTCTCACAGCAGAACACAGTCCCCTGGAACAGTTGAGTTTGTCATTGTCATGATCATGTCCTGAAAGGGACACCCAGCACACAAAGAATTTGCAAACAAAGGATTGTATTATTCCTGCGTTTTCACTAGGATACCTTGTGTGACTGCACATGTGAAATTGCAAAACTAATTTAATTTGTTAAAGATTCCTGGAGGATCAGTTTAAAAAAAGTGCCTTAGCATCTCCAGACTCCCACCAACATACTGTATATATCAATTAGCACAACAAACCAGTCATTGTTATGTCCTCTGCAGCCAGAGGGCGCTCCTACTCCGTCCTGTCCCTAGTTTCCTGTGCTTAGCTGTCCTTCGAGTGTCTCTCCCTCTGGGGCTATATATTTCCGGGTCTGTCATTCACCTTCGCTCAGCATTGATGTTTGGATGTCCTGAGACCTGCCTAGCATCCAGGTCGCCCCACGTCTGCTGCCTGAGGGCATTGGTTTCTATATGACTCCTGAACTGCTGAGCCAGGGCTAATCCAACATTCCGCCGTTACGCATATGGGTCTTTTTCCGCTCCCCTGCCTTTCCACGGTTCATCCCTTCCAACATCCGTGACAGTCATAGGTCACTAATCTTCTCCACCATGAGACTCCACCACCTGACCTCTGATCAAAACATTCACAGTGCTGCATGTTAATAAAACATTACTGTATGTAATGCACATATGAGATAAGGATCCCCCGTTCCGCCGTAGTGCATATGGGTCTTTTTCCGCTCTCCTGCCCCTCTACGGTTCGTCCCTTCCGACATCCGTGACAGAATGCTGAGCCCCTTTGGCGCTTTTTTGTTTTTTCCCTGGGCTTTTATTTTCTCTCAGCTCTCCTATTCTAATCGCGGGATGCTTTTTCCGACTCCTGTGCCTGTGAGCGGGGTAAGCTGGCCCTCCTGTCCTCATCGCTGGATATCACTCCGGTCATCTGTGCCTGTGAGCGGGCCGTGTGCCTGGCTTTCCTCTGGTTGTCCACTCCGATATCAGCGATAGGGTGGTGAGCTTTTTTTCCCTCTCCCGTTCTAATTGCTGGATATGACCTTCCTGACATCCGTGCCTGTGAGCAGGCTGCGGCCTGGCTTTCCTCGGGTTGTCTTCTGCCGATATCAGCTTTAGTTTGGTGAGACTTTTTGTCGTTCCTCCATTCTTATTGCTGGATATCACTCCGGTCATTCGTGCCTGTGAGCGGGCTGCGGCCTGGCTTCCCTCGGGTTGTCCACTCCAATATCAGTGATAGAATGTGAACATACCTATTGCCCAGTCTGTGGTATTTTCCCCGGGTTTTTGTGTTTTTATTTTTGTTTTTTTTTGCTTGGTGTTTTGATTTTTCACTTCCTAGTTCCCCCTTCTCTATGGTCCCCCTGTCCCATGTGTCTTGGAACCTTTGGTTCCTGTCTGTTTTTTGTGATTTGTTTCCCTGGTTTCCCAGGTTTATCTTTGTTGTGGTTTGTGCTTGTGTACTTGTCTTTTTTTGTTTTAAGTCTCCGGAGCTCTACCTGACCCCCCCTCCCTCTACCCAATAAAGGTTTTTACCCTGGAGGAGGGGGCAGCTCTCAGCCATGTACTCCCGGAGGTTTCCTTTCAGTTAAATGTTTTTCCTCCCCCCAGTGCTGTGCAGCTCACTTATTTGTATGGGCGTCAGGAGCCGCCCATGAAGTGGGGGTACTGTCCTGCCGTCTGCGCCAGAGGGCGCACCTACTCTGTTCTGTCCCTAGTTTCCTGTGCTTAGCTGTCCTTCTGGTGTCTCTCTCTCTGGGGCTATATATTTCCAGGTCTCTCATTCACCTTTGCTCAGCATTGAGGTTCAGATGTCCTGAGACCCGCCTAACATCCAGGTCGCCCCACGTCCACTGCCTGAGGGCATTGGTTTCTATATGACTCCTGAACTGCTGAGCCCGGGCTAATCCCCCATTCCGCCGTTACGCATATGGGTCTTTTTCCGCTCTCCTGCCTTTCCACGGTTCATCCCTTCCAACATCCGTGACAGTCATAGGCCACTAATCTTCTCCACCATGAGACTCCACCACCTGACCTCTGATCAAAACATTCACAGTGCCGCATGTTAATAAAACATTATGTAATGCACATACTGTATGAGATAAGGATCTATACTCCATAATTCAAATTGTACTATTATATAATGTCTTGAAATACAGTACAGTGCATGATTTTATTTTATGCAATAGGCCACAATCGACCAACAGCCAATTAGAGAGTCATAGTTTCCGGATACCCAATCATATAAGATGTGGGCGGTGTGCGCTTTGGGTTTGGGATAGTATTGACAGTCAACTTGGGGAAGACAGCACGCTGATTTTCTGATTTTTTTCGATTTGAAGTAAGTCATTGGACTGTAAACATTTGCAACATTTGACTGTAAAATAATCACCTATTACCTATTTTACATTATTCCATTTGTTAAACATAATCGTCGAAAAATTTCTGTTCAGATTCTATTGGCTTGAACTTGTATTGTGGCTACCTCTTGTCTTCTTGCTTTTTTTGTGGCTCAGGTGGTCTGACAGCCCCGAGATGTTCAGAAGGTTTTTGGTCTGCGCGTGTCTGATCCATGCAGCCGCTGTGCATTCACTGTTCGACATCAAGGATCCAGAGAAGCGAAATATTTCCGACAGGGCTGAAATGAACTTGATGAGCGAAGACCAATACTCCGTCGAAACAGGTTAGACTGTTCGAGAGCTGCCTGGGAAATTAAATGTTATTTTGTTATTCTTGTAAAATAGATACTTTCACTAAAATGCAGTTAAAATGTAACTGGTACTATTTGCATTTATTACAATATGTTCTTGTTTTATCTGAGAAAATTTCAAATGGATTGTTTTTAACTACAATACGAGGTACCATTGTATTTCAGAATTATTTTCAGTTAATGTCTCATCACAACACGTATTGATTGCTATTTAGTATTTTTTAGATTTTAATTTAATTCGATTATATTATAAATACTTGCCATGGTACTTTCAATTAAAGAAGATATTTCCTCTTTTAAATAGATTTTTAAAAGATAATTGGCATCATACTATATACACGTTATTATTATAGTTAAACGTTTACATATCGTGACAAATAAAGCTGTAAACATGTTTGGCTCTTCAAAATAAAAAAAACAACTTATTTTAAAATTGTATTCGTTCATAACTAATAACTAAGACAAATTTAGCAAACCAGTACCTGCATATAGGTATTAATAATTACGTTATCCAGTGTTGTCCAGTGCTACGCCTACTGTATCAGTCTTGTTGGTTTTTTACCAACAGTATAACGGAACAGTTTGATAAAAGCCGAATATTGAAATCGAACTACACTGAGCAGTTCTGACGCAAATAATGCTATTGTCCCCATAGGGAAAGAAATATTTGGGGAATTATGTAAAAGTGCAAAACATATTGTTGCGTATTCAAGAATAATACCGAACACCTTTTTTTTGGGAGGGGGAGCATCTTCGGTTGTCATCCTGAAAGCTGTGTGGTATTTGTGAACTTCGGAAGTGTAACAAATAAGTACTGCAGTGTGAAATTAAAATGAAGGCTTCGACGTACTTTTACCGGTGGACGGAAGCTTAAGAGGTACGGCGTATTTTCTGCTCTGTTTGCTGAAAGCAAAGGAGAATTGAAGGTTCACAATATCTTAACGTTATTCTTCAGGACAAAGAAGAGGGAACTTTTCTCCTGCTCTGTACTTTCCTGTCTGTAATAGCCGAAGCGTAGTTGTCCAGGTTGCGTTTTGTCCTCAAGCCCTCGTTTTTTGATGTTTTGACGGGCAGCATCCCTGAATACTCAGGTTTCAGAATTATAGTTTAGAATCAAGGAATCTGCTTAATTTATATGTAACGAATTGAACCCGCAAACTTGCTAAAGAGTAGGGAGTGTGTGCGTGTCTTAGTGATTTGTTCCAGGCACACACCGCTCTGCGGATAAGAAAAGAACTTCAATTTTATTTTCAGGTGATGCCCTCTCCCGTCGACAGTGAAGCTGAACATCCCAGTCAGTTTCTTGGTTTTAAATATCTACTCTTCGCGAAACATTCCTTCATCCCACTTTAACATTTCTCCTTAAGAATGTCCATGTAAGGTAAACTCTTCACTCCAGTGATAATCCTCGTTACAGGAATGCTGTATTTATAACCAGATTCAACTCCGAATTCACCGGAGCTTAACCAGGCTTTAGTCCTCTCTTTGATCAGAATTTACGTTGTCTTGCACTTCTGAGTCGGAGAATGTAGTGTCTGGATTATTTCCATTGCAGAATTTTCTTCCGTTGTCTTTGGCACATCAAAAATCAGCATTCTGATAAGTACACAATTTAGTACACACAGCGCAAAGCAGGCTATTATAATTCTTGGTGCTGACCTCTTGTACTTTTGTTGGATGAAAAACTTGCAGCCTTTTGATTGCTAGTTGTTCTTTTAAATGTTTAAGTGTATTAGGAAACAACACTATGTGTCGTTATAGACCCATAATTTCGGTGATTTTTTCCCCATTTTATCAATGAAAGAGAAAAAGCGAGTCTATTTTTTGTTTTACAACATAATGCATATGTACTGACTTTTTTTTCTCATGTACACTCCAGACTTTGAAATTCAAGTAAAACTCCAAACCTAAACTCTGTTCTTCACCTTCTGAAGCCTTTCACAAGCACAAAAAGATAAATGAAAGAATGTTACAAATTTATTTAAAGCTTTACTCTAGGATGTACAGTATAATCAGATCTAAATGAACTTAATGACATCTATTTTCATTGCAATGGTGTAATGCTTAATTTGACCATTTCAAAATTTTCAGTATTTGTGTAAAGGTTTCATCTTTTTGAGATCATTTCCTGTTAGGTTCCTGACTTATGAAAAATAGCACAAATATAGCTACATAGCTTTGTATTTCAATGAATGAATAACTAAATTACTAAAATAACTAAATTTTATCTGGGTATAAAATTCTTCAAAATGTAATGTATACGATTCCAGGAAGTATAACATTAATAATCCCTATTGCCTCATCTCAGCCAATAAGCTCCCAGCCCAGTGATCCCACTTCATTGTGTATCTATCCAGTTAGCTTGTGGCATTCCTGATGGATTGGAATTGATGGGTATGAGAGAGCTGTTAAAAGTATAAAAAAGCTATATACAGTATATATAATATAAATATACTGTAGAAAATATCTGATTTGAAATTTTCTTTTAACTACAATTATTTCAAATATATTTAAATGATAAATACATAAATCCTGTTAAATTAAAAAAGAAAATGTTAAAAGTTATAGTATAAAGCAGACTGTTAACATAAACAGTAATTGCCATAAAACTCTTTCCTTACAGGAGTTTGGAACCAGGGAAAACCTAAGACTGTATTTGCCAGAAGAGCAGTTAAGGAACAGCAGATACTCCGTGCACTGGTGAGTGATATGTTGACTTTACTGCTCTTTTTTGTAATTGTCAAGGTTCACAAAAAGATCTGGATCTGCGGTCTCAAGCCACATTGTTGATTTTGTGCCTTATGTGTAATTCTTTGCAATGTAATAGCAGCAGTGAATAATGACAAAAGAACCTCATCAGGCTGTCAGCTTATTTTGAGCTAGTGTGGAGTTTTTTAAAAAAAAAAAATCATGGGTATTGACATTTCCCGAAAAAAGCAATTAACTGCAGTAGAGCTCACCCTTCCTGAGCCACTCCAAAGTTCTTCTGCTCTTCTTAAGTACTCAATGCCTGACCTCAAATTGGATTGCTTGCTCAGTTGGGTACCAGACCGATAGCCGCCAGTAATCAAGAGTTTTCTTTTCCTTCACTGATTAGTGCTTTTCTAATCAGAGAGAAAACTGTTGGTTCGTATTTGTAGGATTAAGAAAGTTTCTGTAAGAAAAAGTCGATATTGTGACAGAGCCTTATCGCTCTGTTATTGCCTTAAGCTGTTGGCTGTTTTGTAGCTGTAACTTGGGTCACATTTCTTTTGAGGATTGAACAGTATTACAGAGCAGCACTTGGAAGCCCAGTAATTGCAATTTAGCAGATTTGTGGAAAACAGTCTTATCTGCCCACAGGCTACAGGTCTGCTTACGTCATTTTCCAGAAATGAAATGTTTGTTGAAATGTAATTCTCTATGAATTGGAATTAGCCAACTCCACTGACTCAAGGAGATGAGAAAGTAACCTGACACATGGGACAGGAAACTGACTTTTGCATAAATTCAAATTATATTTGTGCTATTGTTATAATGCCCTTCAATGAGCAATGAACAGTAAACCTAGTGTCTGTTTTTGAACCATTTTATGTAGGGTTTTGGTTGAAGACAATACTTTTTTTCTGTTTTGAAAGTGTTTTAGTCCCTGAATAGTATAATACAGATAACGTATTCTATATGTAGCACCTCAAGAGTAACACAACCTGGTTTCCTTAAAAAACATGAGGTGACCTGCCTGGGGTTTGCTCCAGGTATGAGCTGGTACACAACATGTAGTGATGAAAATTGTAAGCTATATTTAAACCACCCAGCCAGTCACAGCTGGGTATTGATATGCCCCCAGATTAAACACAACACTGTATAACAGAGCTCGGCCTAGGCACCTTGAGCAGCTGACCCACTTGGGAGCGTTATTCATTAGAGCTTCTTACAGCCACCCTTGTACCAGGATGAGAATAGGAGACTTTCTGCATTCTTTACCCCCATGTGTTTCCATGAGAGAAACATTCTTCACAGCTATGAAATAATGACCCAAGCTTAGATGTGTTTGATGATGTTTATTGGGTATTTAGGCAAAGTGATATTTAGCTGAACCTTCTTTGCTGAAGGCCAGCCCCTTGGCTATAGGACAAGGACCTCAATGTAGAGAGGAGCGACCAAGGTGGAGGCAGAGGAGAGATACACAGGGTGAAACTCGAAATGAAAAGAGCTTTGCATACTGCTCTGAGAAATGAATGCTTACAATTTAAAACTGTGGGGATAAGAGGTTATGTTGCTGTCATCTTTCCCAAACATCAGTTGAGAACCATCTATCTTATTTGGTAATTAGTGACTTATTGATCCAGGGATCCATATTCAACCAGCTTTTCCTTGAAAGAAGCCAGGGTATTGGCCTCAACAGCATGGCTGGGTAGCTTGTTCCACACTCCCACAACTCTTTGAGTTAAGAACTGCCTTCTGTTCTCAGTTTTAAATGCACTTCCCACAGAGTTTCTCTGGTTCGTGTTTCACTATTGATTCTGATGAAGCCCACTTTGATGCTTTTGAGGATTTTGTATAGTTACATTAGGTTCCCTCATACTCTTTTGTTCATGACTAAAGGCATTCACTTCCTTCAGCCTGTCAGTAGGACCATCCCTGGAGCCCTGGAATATAACTGGCTTCTCCGCTCCAGACTGATTCCTCTGATGGAATAACATGGAGACCAGCTCACATGGTGTGGGGACACAAGAAAGCAGTGACTGACTCCAGTCCCAGCCCTAGTGGCACTGCTTGGGGAATTCCCTCCCCCCAGACCTTACTTGATGAGGCACTTGAGAGCCCTTATCCAACAGGATTTTAAGACTTCATTCTGTGATTCAGCAACATCCCCAGCTGAATACATGAGACACAGAAAAATAGTCTAAATTCTAAATTGAATTTAAGCTTTGTCTGCTGTTCTCCTGCTTTAAGTTAATAAAAGGACACCTGAAGCAATCAGATCAGATTACAATCACTTAATGATTTACTCAAACAGTAATTACAAAATATTGAATTTGTCTCACTTAATTTCATTCAGAATAAAAATGGATTGAAACAGAGCTTTTTCTTTTAGATCAATTTAGCATAAAATTACCTCATAATGAGCTACACAGGGACTTGGTTGTCAGCACTGCTGCCTCGCAGCTCTTCTCCTGGGCTCTGAATGCTGAGTTTAATTCTGGCCTGGGGAGGCTTTTGGTGTCGCATCCATGGTCTATCTTGCCTTGAACTCATTGCCCGCTGGGTTAGGTTTACCCCAACTTACTGTGAGCTTCTATTGCACAGATGGTTATTAAAATGACTTTATAATTATCACATTATTTTTCTAATATGGTCTAATATTTTCTAGTCTTTAATTTTCCTGTCAGTAGATCTGACTCAGTCTTTACCTCTTGGTGTTTTCTTCAATTACAAGAGTATATATACTGTATATACCTGGGTCTCAGTTCTCTGCCTTTAAGCACTGAAATATTTTTTTTTCCATTTTAGAAACAAAAGCAGGCTCCGGAGCCCCAGAGTCGAAGATGCTCCCGTGTCATGGAGAGCTGCATCTTTCACTCCCTGTGCTGTGATCCGTGTGCGTCCTGCCACTGCCGATTCTTCAACGCTATCTGCTACTGCAGACGGCTGAACCGCCACTGCCAGAAGAAGACCTAGTGACCAGATGCCAGAGCAAACTGGAACATCTCTGTTAATCGCCATAAGTGGTCATAAGTTCTATGTTCTGTTTGTTCTGAACTGCAGCTTTGTTCCCAGAGAGAGGACAGTGATGTAATTGAATTTCACAACCATCTGTGTATTGCAGGGTGTGTGGTAAAACAGCTGCGTTTTTGTATCATTTCAGTGGCATTCTGCTAGATCAGGGGGCCTGATGCCTGACAGCTGCAGTAGTTCTGTATTCTCTGGATGCTGGAGGCTGATAGGTTAAGTGTAAGACAATAGCTCTTCAGAAGAGTTCTCCAGAGCAGTCTCTTGACCTGTGGAGAGGTTTGTATATTTCATTATTGTCATGGTTACTCTGGTCAGCCTATTTAACACAACTAAACAAACATCAATTAAAGTGTCATAACAGGGCTCATGTACTGTAATAACGTGCTGAAAATGTGCAGCTGTGTCCTTGTATATTACGTATGTGGTTATTGCTGATTTCACATGATCTTTAATAACAGAATAAACTTTTCAAACATGAAAATTGTTTGAATCTCTAACCACTGAACACATCTCCCAGTGACACTACTCACACTGAACACATCGCTCACTGCTTACACTGAATACATCCCTCAGTGACACTGCTTACCTCGAACACATCCCTCAATGACTCTTCTTGTAATGGATCTTATTGCACACATATTTCTGTGATCAAATGAACGTTCCCACTCCACGGTGGGGAATAAGAAGGGGTGTTTCAAGCAGCTATTCCCGGTCAAAGAGCCAGTTTCCTCAGTTTAGCCCCAAGTCAAGTGGTTTATGACCTCATTGACGTCACAGAGATGCCATTTTACCAAAGTCCAAAAGCTGACCCAAGTCCAGGAAACATTCAGCAAATCTTCCATTTTTTGTGCAATCTATATCAGATTACTGATATGATTGCTTAATTGAAATATTGTGCAACCATTTAAAAAACAAATTTTAATAAATTTAAATTTTAGTAAGCAAAAAATAAATGCAAATAAAAGTGAACTGCCTGAAATATTTATCATTTATTCTGGGTTTAAGTTAATATGAAAACAACATTTTAATAGAATCATTGTATCATTAGTTTAATCTGTACACATAATCACTCCTTGCTTATTTCTTTTGTTTCTTGTAACAGATGTTCCATGTCAAATTTAATTCAATTCATTTTTATATAGTGCCTTTCAAAACAAGGTTGCCCCAAGGCAGAACAAGACAGAAAAGACCAGAAGACAATACAGGAGAGGAACCAAAAACTCCTTAGTAAGGAAATAAAAAACCTCTAGGGGTCCAAGGTCAACTGGCTGCCCAACCACTTTGGGCATGCTAACATTATACAATTAAAAAAAGAAATAAATGAATAAGGGTATTATTCCATCCATCATGTCTTCTGTATGTCAGTACTCCATGCGGATCTCTGTAGTCCAGCAAAATCCTCCTAAACGATAGCTATATTCACAATGTCCCTCGTGGATCCATGGCAGTGATGCAGCATCCAACTCAGATGGTGCCCTGCCCGGGCGCCATCCGGACATGTGGGGAGGAGAATAGGATAGTTTGGTCAGAACAGATTTATCTACCTGGTGGGCCAACACAGAGATACACAATGGCATGTACAGCAGCACCAGCAGCCATGGTTGCAGCAGACTATAATGTTAGGTGTGAGTAGGCTAGGCTGAAGTAATAGGTTTGCAGTCTGGATTATAATACTAAGATTGACTCGGGATCCCGAACATGGGGTGGGAGACTGTTCCATAAAGTAAGGGCCCTGTAACTAAAGGCTTTATCACCAACTGTTTTTTTATTAATGTGTGGAATATGAAGAAGACCTGCATTCTGTGATCTAAGCAGGTGACTTGGATGATATACATTAATCAATTCCATTACATAGACAGGTGCCTGACCTCTGAGAGCCTTATAAGTAAGTAGAAAGATTTTAAAGTCCACCCTGTTCCTGACAGGAAGCCAATGAAGAGAGCTAAGTATAGTCGTACTTTCTGCTCCTAGTAACAATTCTAGCTGCTGCATTATGAATTCGCTGTAAGGTGTTGAAAGAGTGGTGGGTGCTCCCTGATAGTAGGGCATTGCAGTAGTCTAACCTGCTGTATACAAAAGCATGTATTTATTTATCTGTGTCTTGATTTATATTTAAATTCAACTCATCTAACTTCTGATCTGTATATGTCACGAGAGTCCAGAAGAAAGCTAACAATTCTGTAACACTGGTTTAATATTATGTGCTGTATTTTGTCTTATGCAAGGGACACACATAGCACACTGTGTGGAGGAGACTGACATTCGTGGTCTGTGGGATTATGCCACGAAGCTATAATATATGGGTTTCCTGTGACTGCTAAATGGGGTCAATCTGCAGCCTGTGTCGAGGCCATTGCAGGAGTCTTACACACTTTGAAGTTGGGTAATGAGATCAAGGAAACACTGGATACTGATAAACATTTTACTTCTGTCATATTTTCCATTTTAATATATTTGCCATACATCATTGCTGCTTTTTCTTTCTTCCCTTATCTGTTTTTGTTTCCCTTTATCATACATTTTTTACTGTATTGTTTTTGACTATGTTTTATTTTCTTTTAATGGTATGATTTAGTATTACTTTTATCATCAATTTTGTTGTTATTTTTATTATAATATGTTATTTGTTGCCTGTGTTCTAGTAAAGATGTGGTCTTCAGCTAATTAAAAAATTAAATATCATGCACAATTAAACTGCAGAGCCTTTCTGATTTATTCCCTGTCCACTGCAGAGATAAGAAACACATTAACACATCTATGAGAGGGTCTTATAACCAGAAGGCCTGCACGGGTTTGTAGGAGTCTCCATTTGCCCATGATAAGATACATGAAGAGCAGGTAAGAAAATTAACCCTAGCTTTATATTTGCATTCATTCTAATGAATTTCTTGCTTCTTATTGGGTATGATCAGAGCATCTATGAATAGAAAATAAAAATAATAACATTTGAATGCCTTAATCAATAGGGTGAAGAACTAACGTCTGCAGCCTGGCATAATTAAAATGAATGCTAACGGCACATGGCAATTTAAATTCTGACTGTGACATACAGTACTAAGCGATACCTCTTTAAAATACTTGTTTGCACTAAGGATGATCTATCTTTGAGGGAGCTATTGTAAGGAATCCAAGTGAAGAAGTAAAAGGATCCTATCCAGACAAGAGAGAGAGTAGAGGCAGAAACAGCACAGGTGTCCAATCCGAATCAACAGGCGAGTCTGTGGTCAAGAGCAAAGGTAAGTTCAAAAAGCTGAATGTGGTTGTACAAAAAAGATTCTCAAAAAGGGATGAGGAAGGAGTTCTCTAGGAGAGAAATCAATACTGAGAAGCGAGTAGCAAGTTTCGGGTTTAAATAGAGCTGAGTGCAGAACAGTACAGAGGGTGGTGATGGTTTAACAAGCAGCATCGCTTGTTGTGATTAGCTCGTTTGTGGGTCGATCTCTGATGACTGGCTGCCATGACAGCTGTGAATTAAGGGTAGCTTCAGCCTTCATAAAGCCTTGACTCTAGATCCCACAGTCTTTTTAAATAATCTGTAAATAATATTTTGAGTGTTAATGTTTTAGTTTGTAAATATTTATTTGTATTCTACGTTTGTTTCATATTTGTTACACAAATATCACACTTCCAAAGAAATAAAGACATTACAGAGCCCACTTGGTCTGTTTTCATTCCTAACTATACAGTAGATGCCTTATCTGTTACAATATTTTAAATGGGTGCCAGGATTTTTGGGCAGCACACTTAACATCGTTGCCTCGCAGTGCTGGAGTCCTGTGTTCAATTTTGGGCCTGTGGTGCTATGCGTGCAGATTTTCTGTTCTTCCTGTGTTTATGTGAGTTTCCTCCAGGTCCAGTTCCCCCCCACAGTCCAAAGACATACAGTATTGGTAGGTTAATTGGCTTCTGGAAAAACTGTCCCTAGTGTGAATGTGAGTGTCTGTGTCTGTGTGTGCGCTGCGTTGGACTGTCTTCCTGTCCAGGGTGCATGCCGCTTTATGTCCATTGCTTAATAGGATAAGCTCAGGCTTCCCAGCAACATGGTAGTGGATAATGTGGTTAGAAAATGGATGGATGCATTTTGAGTTTTATATTATAAAACACCCCCTAATTATTTCTGTTTGTGCCCTAACGTATTACAATTGGTGTGTGAAATGATGTAGTTGTTAGTTATTTCACCCATGCCTTAATGTATTTAAATATGTGTATTGTTCATATAATGACATTAATTTCATGCTATCATTTATTATTTTCATTGTTTGCCTTTCCTGCAGGGTGACCTACCACTCTTCTTTACACAAAAGGTTGTGGTAGTGTGGGACAAGATACCCAACTATGATTTTTAAGCTAAAACCTCTTGTTTGTAACATGTCTTATGTTCTTGAGCCAGGTATACCACCCTGTGCTGCCTATCCTGACAAATACTTTGCGAAAGATTGTCTTATGATAATAATTGACTCATTGAAACTTAATTAAGACAATTCCTTCTCACATAGTTTGAGGTGAATTCAGGACGTGTTATGTTTATTCTTAAGAGTTACACCTTTATCCATCAGTTAAGTTAGAAGTGGAAGTTTCTTCCAAATTATTAGAAAATAAACCTTAGAATAGGAAGTAATATTTATTGAAAATAAAATCTGACAGTAGCAATGGAGTAGCTCCTGTAAACTGGACAGATTAAGCTGTTGTTTTCTAGTTTCTCAGAGTCATAACCCTCAGGTATGGGGTAGTGCTCCCAGATATGAGTTTCTAATAACAATTTGGTCTGCTCTGCCGTTGATGGTCACAGAAGAAAGCTGAGAACTGTCCCTTTCAGAAGGTGTTTGCTCACTCTTTATATATTTATTTTCTGAACTGTGTCTCAATCCAGCTCCTTTATTTGTCTGTTCCTGCTCTCTAGCTGACAGTTCAGTATTGCCTGATTGGAAATTAAGAACATAAGAAGGGTTATAAATGAGAGGAGGCTGTTTGACCCATCTGGTTGTTAATAGAAAATTGATCCAATGATCTCATCCAGCTGATCCCTGAAGGAAGTCAAAATGACAAAGTTTCAACCATATTGTTGGAAAACTTGTTACATACTCCCACCACCCTTTGGGTGAAGTAGTCCCTCCTTTACTCAGTATTAAATGCACTTTCACATAGTTTCTACTTGTGTTTGTGTTTCACTATTCATATTGAAGTAGTCCGGTACATTGCATTGCCTTTGAAGATTTTGAATACTGGTATCAGTTCCCCTCATATTCTTTTCTATTCAAGAATAAAAGGTTCAGTTCTTTCAGTCAGTGTAGGACACTCACTTAAGTCCTGGAAAGTACCTCAGTGCTCTCTTCAGGACTGATTGTACAGCAGTAATATTTGTTTTGCAAGAAATATTTTTTTGTAGTGACCAAAATTGCACAAAGTATTCTAAATGAGGCCCTAATTAGTGCATTGTACAATTTAACCATAACATTTAATATTAAATATGTAGCCTAACATTTTTCATAAATACCTAACTTTGTCATGAGTAGCTTAAGCATTAGAAGCATAATGCATGTAGTATTTCTCATTTTTATTTCTAGTTTGTTTTTACTACCTGCATGCAAAACCTGCTCTTGTCTACATTAAATGTCATCTGCCAGGTGTTTTGTTGTTACATCTTTTCTCGAGTCAATCTTTTTTTTCAAAACAGAAAGAGTTCAGAAAGAAAAAGTAGTTTTTTTCCTTGTTCATTATATTTTTTGCTCCTCTTAATAGCAGTGGTTCCTAATGCTGCTGGTGCACCTCAACTAGCCTCTCTATTTCGGCTTGCTGCTGCTTCATCCTCAGTGCTGTAGTGTCGTCATGCCCTGCTGCTTTGGTCCTTCACCTGCCCATAGTACACAGTTCCCAAAGTGCCTCAGTTCTCTCCTGGTTGCGCTAGTTTTCACTAAGCTTGGTCTTTCAGTTCCCATGATACTGGGTATCCTCTGGCTGTTAACTACAACAAAAAATAAAACAGGAAAGGCAGCTCAGTGGCACATTGTAGCATTGCTGCTTCACAATGCTGGGGCCCTGGGTTCAATGCTGGAAATAGGGAAGCTAGCTATGCAGAGTTTGTATGTTCTTCTCATGTTCATGTGGGTTGCTTGCTGGGATTGTCTCTGGCTCCCCTGAGATCCTATTAGATAAAGAGGTTAGAAAGTAGGTGGCTGGATGGATAAACTCAGGACAAATAATGACCACACTCTTTGCTTCAGTGCACTAGTGTGATCAGCAGCATGAGTCCATACATGGAAACTGTTTTTATTTCATTAACGCAAGGTTAAGTCTGTGACCCTATGATTTTTAGAAACAAAATGAATTCTCTGTGTTCAGTTTTTCAGTTCACTCTTTGCTCTTCCTTAGCTGTCGAGTTGAAGAAAATTGCATTCTTTCCATCTGGGTGGAGGAAACAGGTGGTATCTGTGGAGCTGGTATCTGTACACAAGCAGCTGATGGAATTTAATCTTGCTCAGTGACTACCCTCCTTAACCTGTGTTCACTGCACAGATAAATGTGTAAATGGCAACTGGGGACCTTAATACATGTCTGATTGTGTGCAAAATTGGACAGTGGAGTAAACTCAAACTGTGTTAAAGCACTTTTTTAAATGTGAAAAAGAAAGGTGGATACTGAAAGCAGTGTTCACCCCATAGCTCCTGGTATTTGTTAAAGACCATCAAGATGCTTGTTTTGAAATCAAACAAACATTTGTTTGACAGGTGGCAAAATATGAATAGTTATGAGACTTAATTATTTTTTAAGAGTAGCAGGCTGGTTAAATCTTGCTCATAAATTCCACTATAAAGTGTCAAGAGAGCAAATGACTTGCATGTTAACTGTTCTTTTCTTTTTCCCCTGTGTTTATATTGTAAACAGGCAATACTAGTCAGTATTTCATTTCAGTGTTAATGCTTGCAAGATGAATCCCGCATTGTCTAAAGTTCCTTCTCTCTTTCATCATATCTATAGACAATGGGAGAAAACACTTCAGACAAATTATCTATTGAACATATGTGATACTGTAAATTTGAATTTCCTCTTCCTCCTAAAAATAAAACAACAATACATCCTTATCTTAAATCTAAACAAGTTCCAAATAGCTGAGGAGATTTCTTGTTTCACAGATTTAAATTACAGTAGCTTTGTAACTGTCAGCAAATCATTTCACATAACAGTGTATCATTGATACAGCTTCACTTCACTTAGAAATTACACCTTAATGATGACCATAGCTCATGAATTCTGATGACCAGTTCCAATTCTACTACCTCATTGCTCTCAGTGCTATGACAACACTGACTTTTCAGCTTGCTCTGCTCCTCTTCAGCCTCCTCTCAGTCTCTAGATCAGTGTAAGATCCCCGCCTGCTTTAAATCTTGCATTATTGTTCCTTTACCAGAGAAGGACAAAATAGCTTGTATTCATGACTATAGGCCAGTATCTCTTAATCCATCATAATGAAGACTTTTGAAGGCATGATACTTTAGGCATGATCTAAAATTTATTGCAGATTGACATTTAGATCCTCTACAGTTTGCATAAAGGGCCAACAAGTCAGTTGATGCTGTTAACATGGGCTTTTACTATATTTTGCAACATCTGTAATCCTCAGGCATGCATGCAATAATTATTTTTGCAGATTTTAGTTCTGCATTTAATACTATCATTCTAGAACACTTTTACAATAATTTGTTACAGTTCGATGTTCTGCTTTCCATCTGCCAGTGGGACCAAGAATGTGTGTTTTCCCTGTTACTCAATTCCTTGTACACCAGTGACTTTTCAGTCAAACTAATTCAGTTTGAGGATGACCCTGTAGGGTTCAGCACTAATCAGGATGAGACTACGTACAGGAGGGAGGTGAGTCGCTTGGTTCCATGGTCTGCTAACAACCACCTGGGGGTGAACACCCTTTAAACAGTGAACATGGTGGTTGATTTCCAGAAACATTCTCTGAAACCTGTTTCCCCTGGTAATCAATGATCTAGATGTGTGTGTGGTGGAGTCCTTTAAGTCTTTGGGAATGATGATCTTAAATACCCTTAAATGGGACATGAACATCCCCAGTATCACAAAGAAAGCACGGCAGAGAATGTACTTTTGGTGCCAACTGAAAAACCTTGGTGTCTTTCAACTAATTCTAATACAGTTTTACAGAGCCATGATTGAGAGTTTTGATCGCCTCTGTAACTGTTTGGCTTAGCAACATGTCTACCTGCTGATTTCAATTGAGAACAGAAAGTGCATTGAGATCATGTAAAAATGTTAAAAATATTTCTTACTGATTTATAAAATGACTGCTTTATTAAAAACATTTCAGATATGCTTGCGTGTCTTATAATGTGTGCCAAATGTGTTTTCAATGACATTCTGTATAAATTCACTTCCATGTGTTCAACACCTTGAGGCTGAAACTATTCTGTTATTGCCACTATCCCAGTCACGATTCAAATGGAAGAAGGGAAGAAAAGTTGAGCCAGACATGTGGCACAAGCAAATAAAAGTAATTGAGCAAGGCTGTTGTCCAGGACATTGCACTTTAAATGAGGACCTTGTATTTGACCTTTTCCTGGTAGGGCTGATACAATGAAAAAAGCCATACAAAAATCAGCTCGGAAAGGACGTTTGTGCTCCCCCTGCTGGAGCTGATGAATTGCTGGTAGAAGATAAAGGTATTAGTTTATCATTATGTTAAAGCAGTGTTTATTGTCAGAAATATAATGCCTCTTACATCAGAAAATTCCTATATTTTATATTGATTTTCATGCTTTCAAACCTTTTGTCTTTTCCAATAATGATTTTAATATGTTTTTCAAATTGTGTCTGCAGCAGGAATCAAGGAAAACACTTGTCTATCACAGAGCACATACTGTATGGACAGGGACAATTTAGATTAACTAAGACAGCATATTTTTACTTTAATTAAAATTTATAAATAATTCTAAACCTCAATTTTGTGTTAACCATTGATATAAGAAAGAGATTAGATACTTTTTCCTAAACAAAGTAGATTGAACAAGTAATTCCTTAAAGGAACCATTAAGCCTCTCAAATGCATTGGTAAGCATGACTAAAAATGACACATGGTTATTAATAGCAAATGTTTTATAGGAATGACTTTTTGGAAAGCAGAATAAGACATCAGGTGATCAGTGGTGCTGTGAGAAATGACAAAGAAGGGAGTGACAGAGGGTTTAGATTAAGGAAACCAGCAAGCAGACAGCCGCTAAAGCACTGTGGATCAGTGAAGAAAACTACCCACTACAAGATGACTGGTTGCTCAGAACTTAACTTCAATGTGGACAGTGGGTATCTGGAGGGCCTGGTCAGAGGATTTAAGGCTGGAATCCTAAAACAGGCAGATTATCAGAACCTGGCTCAGTGTGAGACTCTAGAAGGTAAGAGAAAAGTCTAAAAACAAGGAACAGGCAGAAAAGATATAAGCATAAAGACAGTAATCTGTACCCAAGAGTCTCAGTTGATTAGATGATAAAAAATGATTAGGTGATAAATGTAGTTGACTGCAATGGCAAAATCAGTTTGTGTCTTAATTGATGAAGAAGCTTGTTTGTGATGTGCCATATATGAAGCATTAGAAGTGGCAAAACTAATATCTGCATACATTATTCATAATTAATTGCTTTATCCCAAAAAGAGAATACGATTCAATCACTCACTCAAAATAATACATGACATTTTAAGAGCATTTAGTTTGTTTTTAAATGGATATTTGACTACAGAAAACCAATTGACATATTGACATAAGATCATTCACAGGTATTTCAATGTTAGCTTACATTTGCACATTTATGTTAATCAATTACACGGTATTTGAAATATTTTTCTATTTCTTGGTTCAGAGTGCCAAAGTAAAACTAATTGTTCTTTGTCCAAGAGGAAAAAACATGGAATAGCTTTAAAAGTAACACTCTCAGTATGGAGAAAGAACCAAAATAATGAAAGCTTAAAGTTATTGCTTGAAATGACCAACAAATTAAATTGATTTATTTACAGAGGGAAAGAGGAACTTCCATTTTTATTAAGAAGCACAGTATGACTGCTTAGTCATGGGCTACAGTACGGTTTGTCTGAATGTTCACCATCAGATAGACTTTTCAATCTAGGGAAAAATTAGAAACAGACAAGCCTTGCACAATTAACTCTTTCTATTGGATTAAAGGACAAAACAAGATTCCTTGCATTTTATAAAAGGATTTAGACAAGGAAAGAGAATGACCAATCTATTAAATGAATTTTTCACACAGGTGTTTCCCAAGGAAAAACTGACAGGATGCTTCAGAGTTAAGACGAAATTCTGTCTTAAATAGTTCTCATATATTAAAAAACATTATCTAAATCAGCATATAAATCATGTATCTTGTCAATTGTGCTGGTTTTCCATGAAATAAAGGGTTGATTTTTAGGTTTTACCACATAAAAATATATTTTTTATTATTTTAATCGTAATTGCTTTATTCGTATTCTTATTTTTATTGTATATAGAAGCACTCAACACCTATTTCTGCCAACTATAGGAAGGAAACTAAGCAATGCCACTCATTAACTTCCAAGAGTCATTTATTACAAAGGTAATATGAATGTACAGTAGCACACATTCATTAAAAAGCAAAATATTGAATCAATTGGAGACTAAGTCTGACTTTTACTGCAGGCATGGTTATGGACATGATTGTTAGAATTCATCTGAAGGATAATCTGTATGGCATTAGGATGGCAATGAACAGTTGACAAGGAAAAGGCAAGTCTTTGTTACTTAAATTGTTATGAGTTCTTTGAACAACCAACAGCAGTGATGGAACAAACCATTTGATTTAAAATAAAAGGAAAATGTTGAGGAAAGTTTGTTCATCATAAAGATATTATTTCTCAAATGTTATGAAGTACTGTAGGTATTTAAAGAAATGCATGTATTTGATTGAGAAGAGATAAGGGAATAATGGTCAACCGGATGATGTACAGTAAATAGTACCAGTGATCTGTACCACTGCTCTTTATAATTTATATCAACAAGCTAGATTCTGGTATAGTTAAGAAAAATAGTCAATTTGAAACGTAATATCAAAAATAGGAGGATTACTCTTAAATTGTAAATTATGTCAAAAATGTACATGCACAAGGGTAAGACCTTATTTACTGTGGATACTGTTTACTAAAGTGTGACAATACCGCCATGAGTCACAAGAGGGTGTCAACGACAGCGTAAACAATATAGCTGTCTAATTGCTTCGATAGAATTTACGAATTCCTCACGGGGAGTTGTCATTGCTGTTCACGGATGTCTCCTTAAGTCTTATAAGAGCACCCTGGGTAGAAAGCCGTAATCATTTGCCAGACTCAAAGACAGAAAAAAAAAACAACAAATTGCTTGGGACTAGTATTTTTTTTATTTTCTATGAAAAAATATTGGCTGAATTGGCAAAAGTGAACGCTACTACTATAGCTTTTCTGAGAAATAGTAAAGTCTTCAATCCTGTTATCGTTCGCTCGGAGTTTCGGTTTGCTTGCTTCTCTGTAAGTTAAAGGTAGCCGATATTGCTTTTTTTTTAAAAAAAAATAAAGATTTGAGTGAAACGAAATCCTCATATTTAACAAAATTAGTTCGCTTGTCTGACGTCTGATTATGAAATAACGCTCGGTTGGGTGTAGTAGGGATGAGGGAGGGAGAATTATTTCTCTTGGAAGACTCGGGACTTGGACAACACCGACAAAATGAAATAAAGCCAGTTTAGGGAATAACTTGTCACAGTCACAACCGTTGTAAAAAAAACACAGCGCCTTTTACAGTTGGTTGCTGAAAAACGATTTTCATTATTTAGGTGCAATTGTAAAACACCGCCCAGCCAACTTATAAGTACTACATGTCTACGTATTTTAATAACGCAGTTAATTAAATAATCAGACATACCATGCAAATGAGAGCTTGCACACTATGCAATTTGGAACAGACACTAGGTAGTCCAGGAAGTAAGTCTGACACCCTTTGTCTAAGATCAATGAAATGTACTGTACATCTCCCTCTAATTAAATAAATAGCTCCTCACTCCTGCTCCTGGAGAATCACAGGACTTGGATTTCATTCAAACTTGAGAGCTGTTGACTTAATCAACTTCCTTTAAAGTACTGCTGGGCTCTAGCTCTGCAGGACCATGGGAGGATTACAGAATTAGGGGGTTGTAAGTGATTATTTGGGTGTTGATTTTGGCATTTTCTTACCTGAAGAAAATAAGCTTTCAAGCTGTTTTTTGTTTTAGATTTGAAATCGCACCTGCAAAGCACAGACTACGGCAACTTTCTAGCCAGTGAAAGTGGTGAGCTGACTGTGTCTGTGATTGATGACAAGCTGAAGAAAAGGTTGCTGACAGAGTTTTGCCACCTCAGATCACAATCCTTAGAACCGCTGTCCACCTTCCTCAGCTACATCACGTGAGTGTAACATTTAGCTGCTAGTTCCTTCCCATTCAACTGGTATATGGGAATTTCTAATCCTGCTGCCTTTGAAGAAAAAGAGATTGTAACATTGTACTTAAATCCACCTTAAACACAGGCATGTCAGTTTGCATCTTAATTGCAACTGCAATAGACCAATGAACAGTTAAAATAGACCTGATCCTTTAGTGTTGCTATCTTGCCAGATAGTTACAGTTAATCATTTTTTTGTTCTCATTGGCTTTAGCTACAGTTATATGATCGACAACGTCATTCTGCTCATCACTGGCTCCCTGCGGCAGCGGTCAGTTTCAGAACTACTCCCAAAGTGCCATCCTCTGGGCCATTTTGAGCAGATGGAAGCAGTCAGCATTGCACAGAGCCCGGCTGAACTCTTCAATGCGATTTTGATTGACACCCCTTTAGGTAAAACCCGGGAGCCATTCCTGCAGTCCAATTCGTTGTCTTAAATTACACCTTCATTAAGACATGACAAACAATAGAATTGATAGTGTTGCAATTTTAATACACTACAAAATCACTGAATTTCTCTTATTTGATAACAGTAAGAACTTGTTTCTTTCTTGGGTGATTTATTTTCATTTCAGCTCAGTTTTTCCAAGACACTTTATCGGAGAATGACCTGGATGAAATGAATGCTGAGATTATCAGAAACAAACTGTATAAGGTATTGTACTTTATTCCTCCACTGTTGTTTTGTATAATGTTACAACTGGGTTTCAAAAACAGAGAAATACCAGAAACAGACTGAGTTAAAGGTTAATTAATATTTAAAATAATCATAACCTCCAAATTGTAAAGATTGTGTCAAGAAAACACCTGAGCAGTTGTTGTAATTAGCGGCACCTGATTACCTTTGTTCTTTGGCACAGCTTTAGTGAAAAGAGTAATAAGGTAATAATTCCTTACACTTATATAGTGTCCGCTTGTTGTGGACAGGGTTTTGCCATCTGTATCGGGTTCTGTAGTAGACCCTATGCGATGCGGTAAGAGCCGGAGGAGGCAAGAGATGGGAATACAAAGAGTGGTGTCCAAATCCAAGCAGGTCCAAAGGCAGGTCAGGGAACAGTCCATGAGTCCATTAGCAAGAGATCCATCCTGAGACGTGAAAAGGTTAAAATCCCCAGGAAGGGGGAAAACACGAACAGACAAAACATGGAGGTCCAAGGGTGACGGGGCGAGATCCTCTAGACCCTGGGCTCAGGAAGCAGGAGGTGTCGGGGATGAGGCTTACTGTATGCCCTCAGGAGACGGCTGTAGGGCACCCTAGTGCTAGGTGGGCCTCATGACTTCCTTACCCTAATGTTGAGCCCTGAGCCCTGGAGGAGATAAGAATAAATAGGGGGAGACACAACAAGGCACACCTGGAACACATACAGTATAAATGATCACAGGGAACTATTTGAAAGGAGTAAAATGGAGCGCCCTCTAGGGGAGGGATGTCAACCATTAATGGGCTTTTCTGGACTCTCCATTCAAAGAGCTTTACAGGTAGTGGGGACTCCCCTCCACCTCCAATGAACAGCCTACCTGGATGACGGCAGCCGTAGTGCGCCAGTACACTCACCACACACCAGCTATCAGTGGGGAGGAGAACACGGTGATGAAGCCAATTCATAGATGGGGATTATTAGGAGGCCATGATTGGTAAAGGCCAATGGGAAATTTGGCCAGGATACCGGAGTAACACCACTACTCTTTTTAAGAAACGCCCAGGGATTTTTAATGACTATAGAGATTCAGGGGCATTAGGACCCACACAGACGGCAGGGCGAGTGCCCCCTGCTGGCCCCACTAACACCTCTTCCAGCAGCAACCTTAGTTTTTCCCAGGAGGTTTCCCATCCAGTACTGACCAAGCTCACACCTTCTGAGCTTCAGTGGGTTGTCAGTTGTGAGTTGCAGGGTGATATAGCTGCCGGCATATAAGGTACACATAGGTAAACAAATATTTATTAATAATGACACAACACATAAACATAAAACAATTAAACTATTTACAGACAAGACATCTTCAAAGGCCTACCCTAACCAATCAGAAAAACCCAAGACACCTACCAAGTATTGAAATCCTACAGTATATAACACCTAACAGGCCCCAAAATAGAGATAAATCTGCTTTCTGCACCTAATAGAATACAACCTACAGTAGGGTTAAATCACTTTCTATAAATCCAGATGCTACAAAGTGAATAGGAAATATACTTGTATCTCCCATTCATTCCCTATCTCGTTTTTTATCTAGGGATTTGCTGTACTGAAACCTTTAGTTTCCTGAAAAAAATAGAATAGCAAGTTCTCTTAACAAGGTTCAAATACTTAAATCTGATCGAAACAAGGACCTTCATCCTATGTTGATGACTCTTAATTGTTTACTCAGAACGTAATTAACCAAGGTAAACCAGACTTTTCCTTTCCTCAGTGTGAATGAAGTAAACTCTTAATTTCCTTTCTTGCTTTGGAGCACCTGAGAACTACAAATGTTGACACTAGCTAGATGTTTGACTATTGTTTTAAGAAGCTTGATTCTTCAGACACCTCAGTTTCTTCAATAAGTAACAAATGTACTAGAGCACATCAAGAGTGGTCATTGATTGTTTCATTCAAAATTCAAAAACACTGTTTCACACAAAATTGAAGCGATTTTGGAGTCATACAAATTTCTTAAGTCCGAAATTCTGCCTATTATCTTCCTCCAGATGAAGCAGTATTATGGCTGATTCTGTCAGTTATTTAGTAAAGATCACCAGCTGAAAACTCTTAAAATTCAAATGAATTTCCACCTTTTGTGTTTTCCCTTTGTTGATATTTTTTTCATCAAAGGCTAATACTGTGGCAGAACAAATAGGTCAGTCAAAGAAATTGAATGCATTACCCATTGACTTGCAGAGCTCCCTGCTATCACTGGGACCAGATGGACATCACGACTGCCAGACACACCAAAACCTTTGCAAATAGTCAAGCAACAACATAACACTTTGTAATGATGTTCTCTTTTGAAAGTCTTATTTAGAGTCATTCTACAAGTTCTGTAGAGAGGAAGGCGGGGCAACACAAGACATAATGTGTCCCATCCTAGAGGTAAGTTTAGAATCTGATATCAATCTTTCAGAATCTTCTGTCAGTTTTTCAGAATCTGATATCAATTAAGAGATAATAAATCCTTCATTTTTGGTAAAAGTTTGGTCCCAATTTTAGTGAACTCTCTTTTTAAAAACACCCAATTCACTGAGATGCAGGAGTTTAAACATGTATAGGAAACATGGAAATGGGAATGAATGTGCAGCTATAACAAGGCTTTCAGATGTTGATCATCACTCTTGAGTTTTGGGTTTGATACTGGCATTGGGCACCTTCTGTCTAGAGTCTGCCTATTCTCTATATGGCTGTGTGTGAGGCTTCTCTTTAGAGCTCTGGCTTCCTCTCCAGACAGACATGCTGAGTGAAGTAACTTTCATCTCTAAATTGCCTGTGTATGTTGTGTGCATGTTCTGGAATCCTGTCCAGGGTATCCTGTCTTGTACCCATTGTCTGCTAGACTAAGCTCCAGTTCACTGTGACCTTGCATTGGACAAAGTAGTTATTAAAAATTGATTGTTTTTTTTTGTGTGTGATGCAGTTATCTGCTCGCCAATGTGCAGCGCCATGCCAGAATTAAAAATATCAGACAGTAATACCTACAACCACAGTGTTAATTGTGAAACTGGGGGGAAATGAACAAATCAGCACCAACTATTTTATTTTACTTTTAGGTAGAGAGGGTTGTGTGGTTGGTTGTGGGTTCTGGTCCCTGCTGCAGGTGCTGCTGTTGTATCTTGAGTGAGGTACTTTACCTCACTTGCCCCCATCTACCCAAGTGAATGTACATGGGAACCAGCATTGCTGGTGAGAAATCCATGAGATGGACCAGTCACAGGCTCTCTTAATGCCCCAGAAACCAGGATGAGGTCTGGCCTGATGAACTGCTCTGGTTTTGGACTTTAAAAAAAAACATTTTATTGCATGAGTAAGAAGTAATTTAGACTTGTCAGAGCCATACTGGGAGCTATACAGTATGGTGAGTCAGTGGTACAGTTGGAGTTTCAGTAGGGCACTCCTGTACCTTGATCATTAGACTTTGCATCCTCCTGTCAGTGAGATATTTCAATGCAAGGTCCTAATTGATGTTTCCCTTCTGTGTTCTACAACATTCATAGCTGAGGAGCAAATCACAATGCTATCCAGTTTCTGCCAGGCAATTATGTTTTTTTAAGCTTGAAGCAAAATGGAAGTTGGAATACACTATAATACGATCCAGTAATGCTCTCATTATGTGAGAAATAGGAGATCTTTTCTCTAGCACCCACAGTGAAGTGTTTGACAGCCATCAAGAACGTTGGTTGTACCTCAGCTTTGGACTGTTGTTAAGTCTCTGTCAGTCTATGCCTTAAAATTCATCTTTGTAAGCAAAGACAACTGCTATCATTATATAAAAACTTTTGTAAAAGAGATAAATAACTTCATTATTTCTTAATAGCCATTGAGTACTGGACTGAATTTTTCTTCTGTCTGCTTTTCAACACTAACCTTTTATTTTCCCATGTGATACCTCATCCAAGGTACTGTACCTTTACCCACATGTACAGTAGGTGGACAGATAGTTCTGTATGTTTGTTCCCCTCTTTCGCAGTTTGAAGCTGACCGGAGGGCTTTTATCATCACAGTGAATTCCTTTGGCACAGACCTCAGCCAGGATGAGAGGAGGAAGTTGTACCCATCCTGTGGGAAGCTCTATCCCCAGGGTCTCAGCATGCTGGCCAAAGCAGAGGACTACCAGCAAGTGAAAGCTGTGGCAGATTACTTTGTTGTGAGCTCTTTTTTCCCAAAGGCTTTTTTCGCAAAACTTTAATGATTAAAGTATAATCTTTATGTTAAAGATACAGTTGTCTGGAGAGAAGAGCAACCAAACTGAAGTTACCCAATCTACAACTTACTTCATGACACTTCCTGTAGCTTTTTATTTCAGCCATTTGTTTCTTTTGTAAAAGGCAGCTCAATAATACTTTATTTTGCCATGCAGCCCAATTGAGAAACAGCTGAAGTTATCTATATTTTCCTGCCTTTTACCTGTTCTGCTGCACTGTACAGGTAGTGCAATTATCACATTTTGTTTCTGGTTAGGGTTGGCACAGTGGCGCAGCAGTTAGCATTGCTGTCTCATAGATCCCCACATTGTGCTGAACTTGATTATTTCCTCCAGCACCTTCTGTGTGGAGTTACATGTTCTCCCTGTATTCTTGTGGGTCATTTTTGGTTTCCTCCTACCACTCACACTCATGTTGCATAGGTTTTATTGGCTGTTCTAAATTGTCCCTTTGTCTGTGGCCCTGCGATGCACTATCATTTGCTGTGCAGGATAAGATCAGTCATGGGTTTTCAATCTAGTGCTATTCCCAGTGCTTCTGAACGAGCTTCTGGTTGCCTTGAGCTTCACCAGGACCAAGAGCTGTCTTATAATAAATAAACTTTTGCATGCTCCTGCTCAGTCTACAGTACTTACAATATCTGGTTATTGTAAAAAATGATGTTGAAAGAGGAGATGTCTTCAGAAGAAAATGAGTGCTACTAGGAGTCCTTAGCAGATGTCTCCAAGGTGCAATACTTACTTTATTTCTCTGGCCATAAATCCTGACTAATTTGAATTGGGAGAACATCTTCTTAACATAGCAAACAATCTGAGCAAAAAGAATAATAGGTTTACTCATATTGTTTCGCTGTACTGTGTTTGGCTTTATCAGGAAAGAAAGAGTAATACAATCTTACAAAATACCTTAATATTACATACAAGAGCATTTTTGCATTCTTGCAATCTGTAGGAGTCAGAAAAAATTTTGAAAATGTTTTAAGATAAATGATCCAAGTGGCTCATAATGAATATTTACTTTCATTTAGTCCAAAGCATGAAAACATGTGAATAATTTTGTAACAGCAAAATCAATATGTTATTGATACAACATACCTTGAAGGAAATCCATTAATTCTCACTTTGTTACAGCAAAGCTTTAGAGTTCTGCCAAAACATTTAGCATGAGCTGACCATGTTGAGGAAAGGAAATGATAGTAACGTCATTAAAACAAGTTACCACAGATGTGGAAGGAGAGGAAAAGTAGCAGAAAATAGCCATTTTCTCTGATTAATTTAAGATTATCTCTACTTGGATTAACACAGGAATATAAACTGATTTTTGAGGGATCCGAGCCAGGTTCTATTGAGAAGACACTAGAGGACAAGTTCTTTGTGCATGAAGTAAGTCCATATTTACGTTGAAATCTCTTCATTTGGTAGAAGCTTTTATCCAAAGCAATTTACAGTTTCATCTGGTCAAGGGTGCATGTACTGTAACAGGGGCATACTGTAAAACAACCACAGAAAATACTAACCTAGCACTAATTAAGTACTAGAATGTTTCAGTGTTGCTTCACAAGTGGGAAGAAGTATCATAAGAGCATAGTCCGTTAGTGACAGTAAGTCACAGGAATGAGCTACACCATTTATACATATGGTACTATGCATTACATTCCTATGTTCTTCAATGAAATCTAGTTAGGAATCCATCATTAAAATAATACATGAATACATGGTATATAAATACACAAATGTATTAAGATTTAACAGTAAAGAGAGTTATTCTATTTTATGAAATGGTGGTTTGAGCGAAATAATGCTGCTGAGCTAAGCTAAGTTAGCAAGTTGTCAAAGAGAAGGAAGCTGTGGTAGTTCTGTGAGTAAAATGTTCCCTTAAAGTGACAGTACTAGAGTGGTGCCAGGAAATATGACACAATCTGAAATATTGACCTCTAAATACCTCTTTTTTGCAATTGGTGAAAACCTACGCCCTGCAAAATTTCATTGTAATTACACTGGAAGTAGAGGTACCTCATCAGCCTTTAACTTACTATTTTTCATGAAATGTGCCTTTCTGTTCTCTGTTGCAAATGTTAACATGATTGCATATAGAAAGTGCACACATTACCTTTCATATCCTTGGCTACAATGTAGAGATAAGTTATTACAAGGACGAGATACTACAAGGGCTCTTCATCTAGGTTCTCCATACCTGTAGCTGCTTCTTCCCACGTTCCTGGAAATGCTCTGATGGGTAGTGCTGACCTAATAATTATTAGGACACTAATAATTATATTAGTTATATAATTATATATAGTTAAATCTGATACTCTGGTTTCTTTCAATAAGCAACTAGAAGAGATCCTTGGATCAATTATCTATTAATTACCAGATGGACTAGATGGGCAAAATGGCCAATGGTCTCCTCTAATAATATAATAAAGGCTTTACCACAGCCCTGGGTCTCTTGGCTTTCTTTATGATGATCCTGAGATCTGGCTTCAATTCAAAAATGCTGAAGCTGCCTAGAAAATTGCCAAGTGGATTGAATATGATCAGTGACTCTGTGCTGCGAGCTGTAGCTCTGATCCATGAGTTTTAATGACTACTCCTTTGTGTCAGGAGATCTGGTACAACACTGAGGACTTATTCATGATTCAGATCACATATCTGGAGCTCAACGATTAAAGAAAACAGATGACTTATGTTTCGATTTCTAATGAGATCTATGGTAAATGCAAAGTCTAATGAAACAGAATCTCTTTGATTTGATTTAAATATATTTCTATCCCATTAATTTTAGCACTGATTTCTTACAGAAGACTGTTTCCTAATACTGCAAAAGAAATAAGAACCTTCAACCTGCTTTTAGTGAGTTTAAATGACCATTTTGAAAGATGTAGCCTATGTGATATTTTTTGTGGTTTTCTGGAGAATTTTTTTTTTTTACTGATGATAAAAAAGAGAAAAAGTGAAATGTGAGTGACTTGCAGATAGAAACGGTATTAAACAGCAGCTGTAAAAGCTCTTTTAAAAGTGTACAAATAGAGACCTGCTTTTGAAGGTAAGATGCAAAATTCAGTTAAGACTGGCACATTGTAACTGGTTGTAACAACTAAGAGGTAATATTGAGTGGAGAAAGTTGCAGTTCTTTGTTTAACCATGTGATGTGCTTTTAATGCCTGTCTTCTTTAGGCAATCACATGATGTGCTTTTAATTCCTGTCTCCTTTAGGTAAAGTTGAATACCCTGGCTTTCTTGAACCAGTTCCACTTTGGGGTGTTCTACGCTTACGTGAAGTTGAAAGAACAAGAACACAGGAACATCGTGTGGATTGCAGAATGCATTGCACAGAGACAGAAAAGCAAGATTCACAACTACATCCCCATTTTCTAAATTAACAAACAGGACAGAAAGGCAACCAATAGCTTAGCAATTGTGTATTAACCTACAGACATCAATATATTTAATTTGTCTTTCACTGTGAACTTAATAACACACTTTCAGAACAAGGATATACAAAATGCAGCACATATTTTGTAGATGGACATAATACATATACAATACAAATAGTGTGTTTAGAATGTCCTTTTCATTTATTCCACTTTTTATTTTATAGACAACTTTAAACTTTCAATTGTGTGTGGAGAAGCTGGATGCAAATTCTGTGAATGCTTTTACTGTCCATTTAAATTTTTGCTGTACATCCAAAAATACGTGTTGGAGCTATCTTAATGGAACATAATATAAAATACCCGAGACATTCATTTTAATAAATGAACCGAGTTCATCACAAACTCTGTTACACTGTAGTAGTGTTACACTGTAGAAAAACATGGAAGACTCGTGTGTGGAGTGTTGCATGTCTGTCCCATGTTTGTTTAGGCTGTTATTTATCCTGAGCTGGGCTGGATTCTGTCACTGTGGGGAAAAAATGCATTATTATGTATAAAAAACATTTTATTTACAGTACTTAGTACTTAGTGTTGCACTGAGGTTGTGTTGAAAAGCAAAGAGCACACATCTAAAAAAGGGGTGTAGCTTTTCTAGGCCTGGGCACATCTGGGCCTTATGATTCACCATACAGGGCCTGGTCTATTTCATAGCCTCCACATAGCCTATTTACACCTGCTGTGAGACACCTGCCTTTCTGTCAACTAGAAGACCATGAATCCTGATACAAAACCCTTCCACAGTGACTGTCTTTCAGTGTCAGCACTGGTCCAGTGGTGTACTGTTTCAGCCAGCCTGTACCTATCTGCCTGTTTCCCGGCAGCCCCATTCCTGTCAGTCCGTACCATCTGCCTGTTTCCCAGCAGCCCTGCTCCTGTCAGCCTGTCATCTGCATCCCCAATTCTGTGGTCTTTTCCAACTGGCCTCACTTCTTTCAAACCTCAGCGCTTTCTCCAACGTAGTCCTTCACTTGGATCTCAGCATGACATAACAACAACAGCATAAAACCAATGTCCCTGTATGGTACCACATTATGACAGATTGGCCATTAAATATCCAATGACAATGTTTGTAAGAGTTAGTTAGTCCGCTTTTTCTGGCTAAATTCCACTCTGTGCTTGCACAATCTGGTCTCCCTAGGTGTCCCTGTAAGTTCAATTATTTACCTGACCTGCTGTGTATTAAGGCTACTACTGAACTTCAGTATTGGATGAAATTGGTATCTCCAATATGTAAACCATTTTAGCATTGCTTTGGAATGAATAACACTATAATTATAGAAATTATTTTAATAAAATATCAAAGATCTAAAATTAAAACAATGTGCAGATGCAAATAACTCAGAAGACGGAAACCTCTCTCAATTTCTGGAAGGTTTTAAAGTCAACTGTCTTGACACTGTAGTTGACATAGTCAAACAAAGCAACAGTTCCTTAAAAGGATGCAAAGTCCAAGATGGACAAGGCTGTCAGAAAGTGAACCAGCAGTCCATGTTGCTTAAGAGATTTCCACAGCTCTTTTAGTGGGTGGACAAATCATAGACCAGAGAAATGGCTAATATTGGTCCTGCAGAGCCACAGTCCCTCGGGTCTTGTATATCCCTTAAATCACTGGATCACAAGGAACTTTGGTCCCTTTAGTCAGTTGACTGATTAAATGACATTAAGAACAACTACGTGCACTTGAAGAGAGTGAAAGGGTGTTGGTATTTTCATTTTAAATGTTTTTGAAACAGCTTCATTTCAATCATATACAGTACCTCAGTGGTTAAAACAACATTGAGGTTTATAGAAAAGATGATTTAAGGGTGACTCATAAAAATCTGCTGATCTGTGGAATTTGATGACTTGTCCACTCCTGACTTGAACTTTTTAGTTTTGTGAACAAATGAAAAAATAAGGATTTGATACTAAAAGTATTCTTATTAAGAAAAAAATCTTGTTAAGAAATAATTCCTTCACAAGAAGAAATTATTTTTGGAAAGTACTTAGGAAGACGAGAAACATATTAAATGAATATTTGAACATGGGATATAAACCAAATAAATTCATGCAATGGTGTAGACACCCAGAAATCTCATTTTAATTAAAAGTGAGAGCTTCTAAAGAAGAGAAAAATACTGTATATCCATATCCATTATTTTAGCTGTGAAGAGGTCAATATATTAGTATTTTAGTCTCTCAGCTATAACAGCCCTGAACAGATAATAAGCCTACCAGATTAGCCTACCTGTTAAAATTCGTGTTTAATGTTTAAGTAGCAAATTCTGTGGATACAAAATAAAAGTACAAAAACTGTCATAACTTAACAAAATAAGTATTTTTCTTTCATCTGACAGTGTCTTCACTGCCCCCCTTTCCATCTAGTGCATCAAATACTTTAGAAATGCTCCACCATCATTTCCAAATCATTTTAATATATTTTTTTACTTCTCAAGACACATTCTTCTAACCGCAAATCTGTAAAATCGGTACTTTGAGTGGAGTCCAATTGTGATTATTGTGGTTAAAATGTAAGAGGTCAAATGACCAATAGAACAATATACCAAATTGGATTGTTTAGAACATTTTAAAATACATTTTAAAATTATTCTAATTTTCATCATTGCAATTTAAAACGATCCTAGTTTTTGAGAACAATACATAAGAAACTAAAGGGATTTCCATTTCTTCCCAAACACTGATGTTTACTGTCACCTGGTTAGTTGCACTAACTCATGAGACAAGACTTAATGCTACTACTAATAATAACGGGAATGTTACTTTTAATTCTCGTCTGCGATGGATATAATTCTCGAGCATTTTACGTTTCGGTTCATTAATATTAATTTAATTTAATGTTTATATTGTAATATTTGTGTGCGTCAGCAGTGAAACTGCGCGTTGATTGATGGAGGGCAGAGCGGGAATAAGGGGGTAACAGACTATGGTTTAATGTAGGAGTTAACGCGTTCGGAGTTACGAGTTAAAATATTTTGAGTGGTGCATCGCCGTCCTGGGTTGTTATTTTATACACTTTGTTTGTATAAGAAACACGACATACATAGATATTTAGATAATGCCTCTGAAAAACCTGGACATTGCTCATACGTGTTGTATGTATTGGCTGTGGCTAAAGAGGGGGGGGGGGTATACAGTACATGATGAAGAATACACCGCGTATGCAAGTTTAGCGCTCACAACGCCAGACTGGGCTTCATCTACTCACGCCTGGGTATCGCAGCAACAGGGTAACTGTGCGTGGTGACGTCGCCAGGCGGGAGCTGTGCGTGTCCTGCGTGTGCGCGCACGCTGCGGGTAGAGCAGGAGAAACAGACTGAGAGATGGCAAAAAGGTCTGCTCGCCTGGCGAAGCGGTGGAGTGGTTGAGACTGTATTAGACGGGCACAAGAGCAGCGGGCACGGTAAGAGTTTCCGCCAAACCTCCGAGCTGCTGTTTTGGAAATACGGTGGTACCATGTTCTTCAGATGGGTCACTTATCCCAGGTCTTGTCTCGTCCCCTCCGTTTCAGGCTCTGTGTGTCTTACAGAGGTTGTGCAGTCCGTGCGCTCAGAGTTGTTTGTGTTGTATTGCACTGTACGAAAAGATGGCGGACTCAAGTCTGGAGTGCTGGGGGCCTGTCCCGTGTTTGTTCTGGCTGTTAATAATCCCTAGCCGGGCTGGATTCTGTGCACCGATGAGAAAAAGATGATGATGATGATTATGATTATTATTACTATTATGTGTAAAAAGATGGTATTGCGTTTTCGAGACTTGGCAGATGAATAGTGTTCATAGCTCCGGTGATAAAACCCGGTAACCCATCGGCTGGAGTTGTGTCGTATAAATATTTTGTTTTCCTCAAAGTGAACTTTTATGACCTGTTTCGCTTGCTTCAACACCGCCGAAGTTCCCGTTGGTAAACGCAAGCAAATTGAATGTCGGGTTGTCCAGTCCTTCAGATTAAGCTGTGTATCGGATTACAAATAATTCAGTCTGCAGGGAAAATAATAATGATAGGAGTTTTAGTATTACTAGTGTGATAAAAATCGGATTTGACATTTAATAAACAATCGGCACGTCTCAGCTTTCCCTCACTGGTGTCAAGACTGGTGGGCCAGGATGATCTGCACAAAATGAAGACAGATTTATCAATTAAGGCAACAAGCATGTGGTATAAAAATCGCAGTATTCTCAGATGTTTTTGTTTTGTGGCGCAGGGGAGCTGAGAGGGGTCTGTAGAGCGATAATCTGCAAAGTTTGAAATATGTTTGACCAGGCTTTCAGATGAGCAGTGCTGAGCTGGGGGAAAAGTTCAGTAGTCTCCCTGTTCACAGGCGGTTTTATTAGAGGAATTACCGTTATCTCTGGTTGTATCGTGTTTGTACGTCAATAAAAATTTGCCAAGTCAAGCACGCAGTGACCCTTGCGATAGTGTTGTGTTATTTAGTTGCTTTGTTTTGCAGAAGTAATTGGGGGGGGCTGCCAGTCTGAGCAGTCTCTGCTGCTCTGTCTCCATGAGACCTTTTATTAGAAATAGTGTACTTGTACCTTTGGGTTGCCCCATTATTAATCCGTTTGTCTGATGCTTATATCCATTTGGGCCCATTTGTACATGCTGGGTATTTTCCTGGAGCAGTCTTGAGTGAAGTACCTCACTGGGGGGAAGGCTGACCTGGGGAAGACTTCTAAGACCAGCACTTGACACAAGGGAGTGAGTACTGGAGTTAGCTTGGGCATTTTGAGAAGTGCAAAGCCCCTACGTTTTGTTGAAGTGTGGGACTGGATTGGATTGTGCTCTGTAGTAAAGGTGCTTTACTCAAGCTGCTCCAGTAAATGCCCTGCCATTTAAATGGGGTCTCTTTGGGTCTGTCATTGAACAGTGAGAATTTATCGTTTGAGTTATCTGGTTAAATGAAGGATAAAACAAAATACAAGATCCACGACTATGGGATTCGGCTACAGTTATGCCAGTAAGACTGTCCAGTTAGTTGCACTATAATTGTTCTTTGGAAAGCAGTTTATATCGAATGATCACGCATCTTAATCAAACGATTTTACCTTTGAAAACAGCTGTTGGTGGTGTGGATGGTGCGTGTGCATTATATACTGTAAATGTGTAATGTTGCAAAAAATGTATTTGCAAGGTGTTAGTACTCCTTTTGCATCAATACACAGTCCTAGGCCTAATTGTGGTACACAGTAGATTTCACAGGGCCTTTTTGTCTGTCTTCATGCCACAAGTGGGTATGTTGATTCAGCCTTGTTTTGAAGTGTCATGCTCTCCCTATAATCATGTGCTCTCAGCACAGTATGGGTAGATGAAAGTGAAGCACCCCTGTTATCTGTTCAGCTCCACATGAGCTGGGTATTCCAGGCCTCGACTGATTCTCCTAACCAGGTGGACGGCTGTTACAGAGCTGACTTTCTATGGCTTTTCTGGAACAGGAATTAGAGCCTCACTGATTTGTACAGCTGCCTCCAGGGCTAGCCGTGATTTACAGAATTTGTGTTTTAAAGAAAAGGATAGGAGACTTACTGTTTCTTGTAAAGTGTTTGACTTTGTTTCTTGGTAGGTTGGTATGGTAGATATTCTGCATTTGTTGCCCTGTTCTGTAAAACCTCACACCTGGATTTTCAGTTTTAGCTAAGTAAAGCTAAGTAAAGCCTTTGTCAGATTGTTTTCTGCTTGTTAAGTGATGAGTTGGAATTAAAACACAGACAGTGTTTACCCTCAGTGACTTTACATTGGCACTTGTCTGTCACCACGTGACTTAAACATTTCTCTCAATGTTATATTTTGGAATATTTTTTTAACATGCTTTTGTTTGATAATGTATTATCCCGCATTATACAGTGACACTGCTGTTCAAAAGCCTTAGACATGTTGTCAATCTACATTTCTATGTCAGTCTTATTGAAATATTAGCTAAATTCTTATATGCTAATAATTAATCCTGAAATGTATTTATTAATAAGTTAGACTCTAGTGTACTTTAAATTATACCTTCTGTGCTTCAAACAAGTTGGGGAAAAATCCAGGAACAAGTGAATCTTTAGAGAATTGTTGAAAGGGAAATTGATGTTGTCCAGGATTCAGCATTAATCCCTGCACACTCCTCCATACAGTATGAATACTTGTTCCTCACTATTTTGTGCAGTGATTGCAATGGTGATGGACTTATAGGTAGCATCTTTTTAGGTGCTGATGTTTGATTGCCTCTTAACCATTGAGAGGTACTGCACAGTGGATGGTCTCCTCCTCATGAGGTTAAGGTGTGGAAGAAACTGAGATGGGTCTTGCTGAGACAGAGGAGGGGGTAGGCATGCAGGGATAGTGGTGCAGCAGACTTTAAAAATAGCTGTGGGAATGTTCCTCTCAGCTAAAATGCATTTTTATATTTACTTACAATATTGATGCAATGTGACAAATGAACTCTGAGAGGTTGAGAAGAAGGGCAAAATCATTCATATACGCTGGCTCACATCCTTTCACTTTCCACTGTGCTGGTGTGGCAGTGGTGCTCAGGGTAGGATGGTGGCTTCAACAGAGCTGGGAAGCAGATGTAAGCAGATGTCACTTGTTGTAATCGGGCTCTAGCCTGAAGGAGGCGTGCTGTTTGTAACTGCCCCTGAATTGGGACTAAATGGGACTGATGGCAGACACCTCCATTCTGTACCTTCTGTACATTCTGTACCTATCACAGCTTAGTAAATAAAATTACAGTGAAGAATCTCCTTAATCTCCACTTCACTCTCAGAATGAACTAGAGAACTGGCCATCTTATCTACACATATGTTAAACAGGTGCTGTTTTAAAGTGACAGTAAAAACGTATTGTTCATTTGTAAGTAAAACTGGTCACTGGCATTTTAGTGGAAAGTTATTGGTCTCACTTGCTTATTGGCACTAATTTCGTACTGATTCAATGGCAGTTTCTAGCCAGTCTCTGTTGCTGCGTTCAGAAAGGGTACAGGAGTGTTAGCTGTCAGGATGGAGGTTGAACATGGTGAGGCATGGCTGTTGGAAGAAGAGGACATTGAATTTTAGGCCACATTATGTGGAGCCAACAAAAAGCCTTGTGAAAGCAGACAATCTTGGAAGTTCAGCTTTGTCTCATATTGTTGGTTCTTGCTTGGACCCTTACCAGCAAGAAATTAGCTTACCTAAAGCGCAGCGCTCAGGAAGCTATCTAATTTGGATTGTTGTGATGTACTGTACTTGCACGCTCATTGGCTGGGTGCTGAAAAAACAAATCTGTTCTCCTCTTTATCCATGGTCTCCAACCCAAGCGTGTTTATTTTGTAGCTGCTCGGAAGACAGTATAAAGGCTGAACTGTAACTGTTTACCTGTTGATATGTTTTTGTACCTGCGTTGCAGGAGTTTAAAAAATTCAAATAAAGAAGCTGAAATAGTTGAAAAAATAATGTGAAAATAAAAAGTCTTGTATGTATGAATGAAAAACTTAAGGTTTTAAGAACCCATTGATAAAATGTGCCTGAGAAACCAGATAATTTTAATTCTTACATGGTTCTTGTACATAACATTTTGTCAGCTGTCATTCCATAGCCTATTTTCAAGGGACATGCAGAAATCTTTGAATGGCTTTGATTCATGTGGGGAAATAACTTGTCAATAATATGTAGCAGAATAACTTACATTTCTAAAACCTGGAGAGGTAGAAGAATGCCGGTCCAAAACGCAGACATTGCACAGAATTGCAAAGTGCACAGTAGTCTGCAGTGTTATTGTTTTATCAATTTTCAAATAATACAAAAATATATATATATTTAAATATAATGGGGTGTAACCCCAGCGTCCTGGCCATATTTTCCAATGGCCTTTACTGGTCATAGCCTCCTAATAGTCCCGATCTATGAATTGGCTTCATCACTCTGTTCTCCACCCCACTGATACCTGGTGTGTGGTGAGTGCTCTGGTGCACTGTGGCTGCCATCACATATCCAGGTGGAGCTGCACATTGGTGGTGGTGGAGGGGAGTCCCCATTACCTGTAAAGTGCTTTGAGTGGAGTGTTAAGAAAAGCTCTATATAAGTGTAAGAAACTATTATTAATAATACTTGGAGTTACAGAAATACAACAAACCAGACATAGTATTTGCAGTTTCTATAGTTCATGCCATAGGAAAAAATAAATGTTAGATTTGGTTATTTAAAGGTTAGCCATATTTGCTATTTCTTTGAAATGGTAGGGCATTACCCCCAGCACATTAATATAGAGAGAAGAGTCTGGAAAAACAAAAAAAAAACACTTGTGGCATGAAAGTACTTCAGTACTGTTTAGTGTCAGCTTTTTAAACTAAACCAGATTAAGATTAGAGTTTCCTTGTATTAAAGGAACAGTAACGTTAAATGAGTAGTCAAAGTATCCTATTAGCCTCAGTAGTTCTTTGTAGACTCTGT